CTCATTTTTTCTCACTGGGTTTTTAGACTTGTTTCTTGCAGATGCAGAAGGGTCTATGGACAGAGATGATCCAGGACAGTCGACATTCAGAAACATTTATGGACACCTAAAACAAATTCATAATTTTACACATTCCTATCTTTCAAGTGGATTTCTCCAGCAGAGAGAGCATGTAGTACTGCGCTTCGTCCACCAGAGGGCTCTTCTCCCTGGACAGAGGCCGCATAGACGTGGCCATATGGTGAGTGAGGGGTTTTGGGAGCAGAACACTTAGAAGAAAACACATGAATTAGTAAAGAGGGGACTTATATATACATTGTAGCGGGGGTCATTCCCTGATGTTTTGGCTGCGGCTGGAGTGTCGTGCACAATATGGTAAACAGTTCATGGTCTGATTCCTTCACAGGTCACAGAAGAGGAGCATCTGTCTCCATCCGCGCCCCCCACCCCTTTGCGGGTCACCTCTGCAAACAATCACAGTCATGTCAAATCACAACAGCAGATCAGAGAATCAAACCGCTCGGACACAACCATTGGTCCACAACTCATATGTTATTACTAGAAGGTTATTAAGAGATTGGATTAGGTCAAGTTGTGGCACCACCTGCATGTAAAAGCCTGATCACATCTCTGAAGCTAAGCAGGGCAGGGCCTGGTTTGTGCTGTGATGGGAAACGCCTGTTTGACCATACACCCCTCCTGTCCCGCTGAAGACACCAGCCTCTGACACATCAGCTCGGAGAGACCATAAAGAGGCCAGAGAGACCAGAGAGAGAGAGAGTGAGAGACCAGAGAGCAAGAGCCCAGAGAGCGAGACCAGAGAAAGACCAGAGAGAGATAGAGACAAAAGAGAGACCAGAGAGAAACCAGAGAGAGCAGAGAAAGAGATCAGAGAGAAGGACCAGAGGGGGGCCAAAGAGAGACTAGAGAGAGAGTAGTGAGAGACCAGATAAAGAGCAGAGAGAGAGAGGAGATCACATCTGTCCTCGGAGCTCTGGCCTAGGGCTCCCTCTGTCCTGCACACTGGTCTTCACTCACACAGAGTTCACAGAGAAACCCTGGACCAGCAACCGCTCTCGCTTATCTCTCACTGGTCTCTGTGATCTCTCTCTAGTTTCTGGTCTCTCATTTGTCTCTCTTTGGTCTCTCACTGGTCTCTCTCTTGTCTCTCTCACTCGTCTCTTTCTGGTTTTTCTCTAGTCTCTCTCATTTGTCTCTCTGGTCTCTCTCTGGTCTCTCTCTCTGGTCTCTCTCTGGTCTCTCTCCTTGTCTCTCTCTCTGGTCTCTCTCACTTCTTTCTCTCTGGTCTCTCCGTTGTCTCTCTCTCTGGTCTCTCTCTTTCATGTGTTCAAACTGTTGTGATATAGGGTTATACACAAGTGCATTGAATTGCATTGACTTCGTTTATGAACCATTGAGAGGCTAAACTCTCTCCATCATAAATCATATTCTGTCTCTCTGACAAATACACATAAACTCTAGCTGTCAAAGCGTCTCCATAATGAGCCCTGCCTCTTCCTGCTGACAGCTGTGATTGGCGTTCACCTTAATTATATTCAAACAGTTGGAAGTTAGAGGTTGGTTTATGTCACAGCAGCAGGACTTTCCATTGTGTTGATTTAAGAAAATGTAATAAATAAATAAAAACCTATACAATAGATCCATCAGTTTTCAAATCCTCACCACATTCAAAGCTCTCCATAACCTCCTCACCTGTCTGACCTCCTCCACATCCACACACTCTATACCCTCTGCTTCTCCTCCTCTCTCTCTTCCTCCTCTGTCCTCTCCTCCTCATCTGTCCTCTCTCTCCTCCTCTGTCTTCTCTCCTCCTCCTCTGTCCTCTCTCTCCTCCTCTGTCCTCTCTCTCCTCCTCTGTCTTCTCTCCTCCTCCTCTGTCTTCTCTCCTCCTCCTCTGTCTTCTCTCCTCCTCCTCTGTCTTCTCTCTTCCTCCTCTGTCCCCTTTCTCATCTGTCCTCTCTTGCTTCTATCCCTAGTTCCCACATACGTGTATATTTGGGCTCTGTCACATCTGTAGATCAACCTTATCAGACAGAAAAGTATGGACTGTTACCTCATTATTGTAATCTAGGAACACTAAAATACACAGACATAAACTGACTTTAAGCCTCCTCCACCCCTGATGAAAGACAAAACACTGACAAGTCATGTGTGCATAGTAAAATATCTTTAATTCAGATTTTTTGCCAGAATAAGCTCCACTCCTTGTCACTCTGTCCTCAGCAGCAGCAGCAGCAGATTCAGCAGCAGCAGCAGCAGCAGCAGAAGCAGCAGCAGCAGCAGCAGCAGCAGCAGCAGCAGCAGCAGCAGCAGCAGCAGCAGCAGCTTCACATCATTGTCACCGTCACATCAAAAATAGAACGTTTTGACACTAACTACAGACAACCACTGCAATAAATATAAGCACAGGTGAATGGAGCTGTTGTTATAAATAACCATAAAATTACTGCATGAGCGAGAGATCAGAGAGAGAGACCAGAGGGAGTGGGAGATAGAGAAAGAGAGACCAGAGGGAGTAGGAGAGAGAGACCAGAGGGAGTGGGAGAGAGAGCGAGAGACCGGAGAGAGTGGGAGAGAGAGATAGAGGGAGATAGTGTGTGTGTGAGAGAGAGGGAGACCAGAGAGAGAGAGACCAAAGAGAGAGGGAGTCCTTGTTTGAGTATTACACTGTTAAACAGAGCCCAGAGAGACCAGAGCAAAACCAGAGAGACCAGAGAGAGAGAGAGAGGGTCCAGAAAGAGAGACCAGAAAGAGAAACCAGATAGAGAGAGAGACCAGAGAGAGAGGGAGAGCAGACGAGGCCTTGTTCGAGTTCTACAGTTACAAAGCGACAGGAATTCTTGCCTTTTAAAATCATACAAAAACAGCTGCTTTTTACATCAGAAAACCACACTTCTCTACAAGGCTTTTGGAAAACTGCTCCACTTCTGAACTCAAAATGTTGTCTGTTTTTGGTCCGTCCCAAACCGAGAGGAGTCCGCTGAGGAGGTGAGAGGAGGCTTCTGTTTTGGGATGAGCCATGGAGGAAGTGTCTGTGGAGGGGGAAGTCTGAGGCTGCATCCAAAGTTCCACTTGAGGCCATTTTGTGTCCGTGCTTTGAGTCGCCTTGTGTGCGCACGGTGGTATACAGATAAACTTCCCTGGTCTAGTAATGTGGCGTCAATCGAGTTTTGGAGAGAGACCAGAGAAAGTGGGAGAGAGAGAGAGACCAGAGAAAGTGGGAGAGAGAGAGAGACCAGAGAAAGTGGGAGAGAGAGAGAGACCAGAGAAAGTGGGAGAGAGAGAGCAGAGAAAGTGGGAGAGAGAGTGGGAGAGAGAGACCAGAGAAAGTGGGAGAGAGAGAGCAGAGAAAGTGGGAGAGAGAGAGCAGAGAAAGTGGGAGAGAGAGTGGGAGAGAGAGACCAGAGAAAGTGGGAGAGAGAGAGAGACCAGAGAGAGATAGAGAGAGTGGGAGAGAGAGACCAGAGAGAGGTAGCGAGAGGGAGAGTGGGAGAGAGAGAGACCAGAGAGAGGTAGTGAGAGGGAGAGTGGGAGAGAGAGTAGGAGAGAGAGACCAGAGAGAGGTAGCGAGAGGGAGAGTGGGAGAGAGAGAGACCAGAGAGAGGTAGTGAGAGGGAGAGTGGGAGAGAGAGATCAGAGAGAGTGGGAGGGAGAGATCAGAGAGAGAGAGAGAGGGAGAGAAATAGACCAGACAGAGAGAGAGACCAAAGAGAGAGGGAGCAGACAAGTCCTTGTTTGAGTATTACACGCACAGAGAGAGGGAGAGAGAGAGAGAGAGAGGGCAGAAAGAGAGAGAGAGAGACGTCAATTGAGTTTTGGAACAGTGTTTTTGTTGACATGGTGAACATTGGAACATGCAGATTTGTATAAAAACATATGTCCATTTAACGTATGTACATTTCAAACATTATTGTCCCTTTGTGCCGCGACAGAAGAGAAACTGAGGAAGTGACGGCTCCAGGAATTCTGTGTCCACCGACTCCCACAACGGACCGTTCCAGATCGGGTATAAGAAACATTCTATAAGTTATATATCATTATTTTTTCTAGAAGTAGATTCAGCAAGTTTTTATAGAAAACTACTGCTGTTTTCAGGTCTATACAAAAAAACTAAAAAATGTGTGTAGGACCAATGACCGGTGTGACTTTACTTCTGGTGTTTTGTGATCTTAACGTTTTGAATTTAATGTTTATGTTTTATGTGAAATGGGAAAAGCGCTCTCCAAATATAAGGTTGAGTCATAGATCGTAGAATTTGATGTGATTGGGGAAGATTGGACTGTTTTTTTCTTGTTTTTTTCCAGTTATTTCATGCCAAACTGATCCCAGCGATGTCTCCTCTCTCTCTGAAGCCGGTCCTCTCTCGTCCTGGTCCCTGTGGTTGTGTCTCTGGTGTCTCTCTCAGTAGCAATGTCTCCTCTCTCTTTCTCTTTGAAGCCGGTTCTCTCTCTCGTCCTGGTCCCTATGCCCGTTTCTCTGGTCTCTCTCTCTCTCACTAGCAATGTCTTCTCTCTCGTCCTGGTCTCTGTGCCTGTTTCTCTGGTCTCTCTCTCAGTAGCGATGTCTCCTCTCTCTCTCTCTCTCTCTGTGCCTGGTTCTCTGGTCTCTCTCTCAGTAGCGATGTCTCCTCTCTCGTCCTGGTCTCTTTGCCTGTTTCTCTGGTCTCTCTCTCAGTAGCGATGTCTCCTCTCTCTCTCTCTCTCTCTGTGCCTGTTTCTCTGGTCTCTCTCTCTCTCTCTCTGTGCCTGTTTCTCTGGTCTCTCTCTCAGTAGCGATGTCTCTCTCTCTCTCTCTCTCTCTCTCTGTGCCTGTTTCTCTGGTCTCCCTCTCTCTCTCTGTGCCTGTTTCTCTGGTCTCTCTCTCAGTAGCGATGTCTCCTCTCTCGTCCTGGTCTCTGTGCTTGTGTCTCTGGTCTCTCTCTCAGTAGCGGTGTCTCCTCTCTCGTCCTGGTCTCTGTGCTTGTGTCTCTGGTCTCTCTCTCAGTAGCGGTGTTCTCCTCTGGTGATGTGGGAGGAGAACTCGTAGCGGTCCTGGCTGCGGTGACCACACAGGTTGCACTCCAGGGGGTCCCTGAAGCCGTGGCAGCCCATGTGGATGGTGTACATGACGTGGTCCAGGAACAGGACACGGCAATGCTCGCACCTGTACGCTCTCACCTGGTCGCCGTCCGACGTCAGGACCTGAGGACGAGAGAGACACATGGTCAGAATGCAGAGAAGTGTAAACGTGTGAGTCAAGAGGAGAGAGACCAGAGACCAGAGACAGACCAGAGAGAGAGAGAGGCCAAAGAGACCAGAGAGAGCACAGAAAGAGACCAGAGAGAGAGAGAGAGAGATCAGAGAAAGAGACTAGCGAGAGAGACCAAAGAGAGAGAGAAAGAGACTGGAGAGAGAGCACAGAAAGAGACCAGAGAGAGAGAGAGAGAGATCAGAGAAAGAGACCAGAGAGAGAGACTAGTGAGAGAGACCAAAGAGAGAGAGATAAAGAGACTAGAGAGAGAGCACAGAAAGAGACCAGAGAGAGACCAAAAAGAGAGACCAGAGAGCGAGAGAGAGATCAGAGAAAGAGACCAGAGAGAGAGAGACTAGCGAGAGAGACCAAAGAGAGAGAGAAAAAGAGACTAGAGAGAGAGCACAGAAAGAGACCAGAGAGAGAGAGACCAGAGAGAGACCAAAGAGAGAGACCAGAGAGAGAGAGATCAGAGAGAGAGACCAGAGACGAGAGAGAGAGATCAGAGAGAGAGAGAAAGAGACCAAAGAGAGAGGCCAGAGAGAGATAACAGAGAGAGCAGAAAAAGATACCAGATAGAGAGAGATTAGTGCGAGGGACCAGTGAGAGAGGCCAGAAAGAGAGAGACCAGACGAACCACAGTAGTTGACATGGTCTAATCTTAGACTTTTGACAATCACCATAGTTACCAGGACATACTTTTCGGCTGTCCTCCATCTTTGATATTTCTACATAAACATAGTCATTGAACATATACAGTATATACAGAGAACTCCCATGTCCCACTGACCTTGAAGCCCTCGGAGGCCATCTCCAGCCCCACCCTCATGGCCTCGTACTGCCGCTGCTGCTCCTCCTTCACCAGGGCCCCGTTCCTGGCTCCGCTCATGTGATTGGTCAGATAGATGAGCCCAGCCGCCGCCGCTCCCCCTGCTGGCCGCTCCTCGTTATTGCTCTCCGTGTCGTCCGTGCTGTCGTGGCCGCTGTGGCTGGGAGAGGCGTCTTTCTCGCTGGACGCCGACTTGGACTTGGAGAGCAGCAGGAGGTTCTCGGCGGCGCTGTCTTTGGCCGAGAGGTTGTGGGGGACGGAGTTATCGGTGGGAGGTTTGTGCAGAGGGAACATGGGGCCCAGGGCGGCGTCCGAGGAGGAGCCGGGGGAGGTCTGTTGGATCAGGGGACGCAGGGACTCGGCGCCCAGGTAGCTGATGGCGCTGTTGATGGCCTGGTCGATGACGTGAGGCTGCATCAGGTCTGCGGACGCACTGTCGTAGGAGAGGTCCGAGAGACGCTTGTCCCCTGGAGTCAAAAACAAAAACACAAACAGAGAGAGATTAGGAAGGTTCAATTCAATTCAGTCAAATTCAATTAAATCTTGTATCGCCTTAAACCACAGAAGTAGTTTTCTCGAAGGACTTTCCAAAACCGTTGAATTCGCCAACACAGATCAGAGAATCAAACAGTTCAACTACAGGAAATGCAAAAAACTCAGAGCCATCGCTTCAAAAGGAGCAGAGACCAATGTCCAGAAATGTTCTTGAATGTTGAGTGTCCTGGATCATCACCAAGACACTCAACAAGTATTGGGTTGAAGAGCACAGGGACTGGCCTCCTGCTTGGACTCTGAGGAGCAAAGGGACTGGCCTCCTGCTGGGACTCTGAGGAGCACAGGGACTGGCCTCCTGCTGGGACTCTGAGGAGCACAGGGACTGGCCTCCTGCTGGGACTCTGAGGAGCACAGGGACTGGCCTCCTGCTGGTCCCAGAGTCAGGACTAAACATGGAGAAGGAACACAGCTAAAATCTGGAAAAGTCTTCTTGAAAATGTGAGACAGGCTTCTTCTCTGACAATGTTCAAAGCCAGATCTGAACAACTGAAGGATTGTATCTTGTTTTGTTCAGCCCTTGTTGCCTTGTGTACGACCTGTGCTATACCAATAAACTTACCCTGCCTTGTATACCAGACAGTAGTCGGTTAGCAATCTCACGGTAATAACATCGCTAACTGACTATTGTCTGGTAAAGAGGAGCCTAATACTTTACATAGAAGGACAATAAGAATAATATCCTTTTACTCCTAATGTTCCACCTTCAAGTCAGTGTTTTGATAATAATAATAATAATAATAATAATGAGAATATTAACAATAATAATAATGACACTATTACTACTACTGCTAAAAATAATAATAATAAATTGATAGTTAAGGAAGCAGCGCTTACCCACAAACTTCTGTGGCATAGAACTCTTCCGTTTAGCTACATTATTGGCCAGTCTGTCGAGCAGCAGGGCTCGGTCACATCCCGACATCTCCTCCCTCCCATCACTGTGGCTCTCCTCCTTCACTACTGCAAACACAAGAGGAGTCACACACTGCTGTGGCCTGCAGGGGGCGACTGCTTTAATCGTGTAGCACAACCATAGACTGTAGGTAGATGGACGATGCTAACCTGCTAGTTTTGCTCCATCTCTCTCTGGCTCCTATTGACTCATGACATGTTAAAGCTCAGTAACTTAAATACATCTGTGGTTTAGCGCTCTCTCCGCGGCGAAAAGTTATGAAGTGAAAACATGCCCGAATTTGGCAAAACGAATCTTAATTTGCGCACATTCTGACTGAGCCTTAAAATTAGGATTTTCCAACGCGACAAAGTAAAATGAGCTTGTTTTCAAAAGATCCAAGAAATGTGTCCCTTGGAATGAGAAAATAAAGCAACAGTTCTTGAAATCCGACTAAATGACTAAATTGTCCCATTGGGGAATCTTGTTTTAACTCAATCAGAATGTATTAAAGTAAAAAAGCGAAATATTACGTCAAATTTTATAATTTTTTTTGCAGTGTGTGATCCTGGTGTTCATGTTGTCTTTATAAATCCAGATATGAGCCATAACGCTTGACCAATCAGAGGCCTTCTTTCGCGGGGGACACTGCAGCTGGCCCTAGCAACCGTCTTAGCAACAATAGTCCATATAAGGAAATTGGCTCCAGCTAGTTTAAGTTCAAATCGGCTTCTTCCGCACTAATGCTAACACTGTGGAGATATATGGTCCAAATGTTGTTACGCGACCCACTGATAATGTTTTAACTACTTATATGATTTTATTTTTTTTAGAAACTCTTCCTTTTATTAGTTGCATTTACAAAATATAGTTTCAATGCGCAAATGAAATGATAGTTGGGTAATATTAGCTTCTGTCTGCGGTAGAGAGAACCGAGAAGAACTGACCAATCCATTCAATGTATTCATGTACAACCCTAAATCACAAAAGGAGTCGTCTCGGAAGACTTTACAAAGTTGTCGATTCACCAACAGCAGATCAGAGAATCAGTTTGAATGCAGGAAAGTCAGTAACAACAAATACAAGGAACAATTCAAAAAGAAAGTGAGAAGAAAGAGAAGGAGCCACTCTAGTGAAAAGACAGACTGTATACTGTAGATCCAGGACTCAGGTCTCCAGTCAGATCAAGTTAGCGATCAGCAGAGTTTTTATACACATATGAATGTCTGCTGCTGTGAACTTATTACTATTGTTAGCTACTTTTAGAATGATGTATTGTATTTATTGGTTTTGCTTGTATGTTTTGTTGGAAGTGTTTCTGCTGCCACTGGACACCTGAATCTTTCTATCACTGCAAAAAGCGATACAAAAGGAGTCAAACATTTCTCAATATTGGAAAAAAGATATCATATTTTGAGCATAATTCTGACTGCCTCAAAACAGGATTTGCCAACAGAACACTGAGCAAAATGAGCTGGTTTTAAAGTTCTTGAAATAACAGTAAATGGCTTTGTCTCATTGGAAAATCTGCAATTACCTCATATTTTATCATTTTTTGCAGTGTGTCAATAAATCTATCTATGTACATGTTTCTAAATCAGCTGTAAAACACCAGGGGAAATGGCTACAGTTATAATTATATACACTTTTATACTCTTTATGGTCAAGATAGAGATTTTTTTGTACTTGCCTTTTGATGCTAGAGTTAGAGATTTAGTTTTATTTTAAGTAGTATAGCTATTGTTCACTTGACCTGGCACAGAGAGTGTTGTCAGAGTCCAGACCTGAGTAGATGTTGTTCTGCAGCCCCATGCACTGGAGGTAGTTGTGACATCGTTCTTTGTGCTCCTCCAATGAGCTGCGCTGCTTGTAGCTCCGCCCACAGTACGCACATTTATGAGGCTTCCCCACTGAGACACACAACCAGAAATGTGTCAAAAGCGCAACACAAAAATACAGGATACAAGTGCAAATACTGTATACTTTCTCCAGGATAATGTTTTTTATTGTAATAATTGATTTAAATGTTTTTACGGTGAGTCAAGAAACACAGCAGCTACTTGTGTGCTCCCTGTGTGCTACTGGTCTCTCTGGTCTCTCTCTGGTCTCTCTCTGGTCTCTCTCTGGTCTTTCTCTCTCCGGTTTCCCTCTTCTCTCTCTGGGCTCTCTCTGGTCTCTCTCTGGTCTCTCTCGGTCTCTTTCTGGTCTCTCTATCTGGTCTCTCTCTCTCCGGCCTCCCTCTTCTCTCTCTGGTCTCTCTCTGGTCTCTCCGGTCTCTTTCTGGTCTCTTTCTCTGGTCTCTCTCTGGTCTCTCTCTGGTCTCTCTCTGGTCTCTCTCTGGTCTCTCTCTGGTCCCTCTCTGGTCCCTCTCTCTGGTCTCTCCGGTCTCTTTCTGGTCTCTCTCTGGTCTCTTTCTCTGGTCTCTCTCTGGTCCCTCTCTCTGGTCTCTTTCTGGTCCCTCTCTCTGGTCTCTCTCTGGTCCCTCTCTCTGGTCTCTCCGGCCTCTTTCTGGTCTCTCTCTGGTCTCTCTCTGCATGGTCTCTCTCTGGTCTCGCTCTGGTCTCTCTCTCTGGTCTCTCTCTCCTAAATCCCAACAGCAGAAGTCTTGGATGACATTGTCAGTTGTCAATTCCTCAAACAACAGTTTTAGTCGCTGGTTTGGCCTTTGTTATACCTGAATGTCCGTGGTACCTGAGTGTTCGTGGTACCTGAGTGCATGTGGTACCTGAGTGTCTGTGGTACCTGAGTGTCTGTGGTACCTGAGTGTCTGTGGTACCTGAGTGCCTGTGGTACCTGAGTGTCAGTGGTACCTGAAAGCCCGTGGTACCTGAGTGCCTGTGGTACCTGAGTGCCTGTGGTACCTGAGTGCCTGTGGTACCTGAAAGCCTGTGGTACCTGAGTGTCAGTGGTACCTGAGAGCCTGTGGTACCTGAGTGTCTGTGGTACCTGAATGTCTGTGGTACCTGAGTGTCCGTGGTACCTGAGTGTCAGTGGTACCTGAATGTCTGTGGTACCTGAGAGCCTGTGGTACCTGAGTGTCTGTGGTACCTGAATGTCTGTGGTACCTGAGTGTCCGTGGTACCTGAGTGTCAGTGGTACCTGAATGTCTGTGGTACCTGAGAGCCTGTGGTACCTGAGTGTCTGTGGTACCTGAATGTCTGTGGTACCTGAGTGTCCGTGGTACCTGAGTGTCAGTGGTACCTGTGATACCTGAGAGCCTGTGGTACCTGAGTGCCTGCGGTACCTGAGTGCCTGTGGTACCTGAGTGTCAGTGGTACCTGAGAGCCTGTGGTACCTGAGGGCCTGTGGTACCTGAGGGCCTGTGGTACCTGAGGGCCTTTGGTACCTGAGTGTCAGTGGTACCTGAGTGTCTGTGGTACCTGAGTGTCAGTGGTACCTGAGTGTCAGTGGTACCTGAGTGTCTGTGGTACCTGAGTGTCAGTGGTACCTGAGTGCCTGTGGTACCTGAGTGCCTGTGGTAACTGAGTGTCTGCGGTAACTGAGTGCCTGTGGTACCTGAGTGCCTGTGGTACCTGAGTGCCTGTGGTACCTGAGTGCCTGTGGTAACTGAGTGTCTGCGGTACCTGAGTGCCTGTGGTACCTGAGTGCCTGCGGTAACTGAGTGCCTGTGGTACCTGAGTGCCTGTGGTACCTGAGTGCCTGTGGTACCTGAGTGCCTGTGGTACCTGAGTGTCAGTGGTACCTGAGTGCCTGTGGTACCTGAGTGCCTGTGGTACCTGAGTGCCTGCGGTACCTGAGTGCCTGTGGTACCTGAGTGCCTGCGGTACCTGAGTGCCTGTGGTACCTGAGTGCCTGCGGTACCTGAGTGCCTGTGGTACCTGAGTGCCTGTGGTACCTGAGTGCCTGTGGTAACTGAGTGCCTGTGGTACCTGAGTGCCCTGTGGTACCTAAGTGCCTGTGGTACCTGAGTGTCTGTGGTACCTGAGTGCCTGTGGTACCTGAGTGCCTGTGGTACCTGAGTGCCTGTGGTACCTGAGTGCCTGTGGTACCTGAGTGCCTGTGGTACCTGAGTGTCAGTGGTACCTGAGTGCCTGTGGTACCTGAGTGCCTGTGGTACCTGAGTGCCTGTGGTACCTGAGTGCCTGTGGTACCTGAGTGCCTGTGGTACCTGAGTGCCTGTGGTACCTGAGTGTCAGTGGTACCTGAGTGCCTGTGGTACCTGAGTGCCTGTGGTACCTGAGTGTCAGTGGTACCTGAGTGCCTGTGGTACCTGAGTGCCTGTGGTACCTGAGTGCCTGTGGTACCTGAGTGCCTGTGGTACCTGAGTGCCTGTGGTACCTGAGTGTCAGTGGTACCTGAGTGCCTGTGGTACCTGAGTGCCTGTGGTACCTGAGTGCTGTGGTACCTGAGTGCCTGTGGTACCTGAGTGCCTGTGGTACCTGAGTGCCTGTGGTACCTGAGTGTCAGTGGTACCTGAGTGCCTGTGGTACCTGAGTGCCTGTGGTACCTGAGTGTCAGTGGTACCTGAGTGTCAGTGGTACCTGAGTGCCTGTGGTACCTGAGTGCCTGTGGTACCTGAGTGTGTGCGCAGGTGTCCGGTCAGTGCGTCGCGGCGGCGGCAGGCGTAGCTGCACAGGTGACATTTGAAGGGTTTCTCTCCTGAATGGAGCTTGATGTGTCGGAGCAGGTTTCCCTTCTGTGTGAACGAGGCTCCGCACTGACTGCACTGGAACGGCCGCTCTCCTGAGAACACGGCAAGGTTATCTGTATAGCACAGTTCACACACAACATACTCATGCAGATGGATGGAAGCATTTACAGCTCGCTAAGACGCACCACAGCTACTTATATTACTACACACACTACACACACACTACAACACACAACACTCACTACACAAACCAAACACACACATCACACACCAAATGCTCCACACACACAAACAACACACACACTAAACACACACACATCGCACACACATACCAAACTTTCAAACCACAAGATGATCCGTGAATAAAATCCATGTATACCACCAGTGACATTAGCTCTGAGCCCAAAGAGTCCAATATTGACTAACAGGGACAAATGAGAAGATAAGTGTGTGTGTGTGTGTGTGTGTGTATGTGTGTGTGTGTTTCTGTTTGGTTGGCTTGATAATAAATTCAAGAATAAAAAAAAAACAGGAGTAAGATTAAGAGATCCACACACACAGACACACACACAGACACACACACACACACACACACACACACACACACACACACACACACACACACACACACTCCCTCCTTCTTTCCCTTAAACACATTTTAATTACAGCCTGGTGCCGTGTCATTCATATATATACGGGAACTCGCTCAATCTAGAACACGGGGTCATAACCCTACAACACTCCCGATCCTCACCCACCACCGCACTGACACCCTCCTGTCTCCCCCCCTCCCAAACCCTCTGATGGAACAGCCTCTCCCTCCGCCTGCCAACTCCGTATCGCTTCATTGCTCGGGTCAATTTCATCTGCAAATCTCATTTTTTACCTCCCTCCCCAATCCCCCCTCCCTCCCCCCTCCCTTCTTGCATTTTTTTTCTATTTTTTTCTTCTTCTTCTAAACTAAATCCACATCACAATGCAAATGCGCTGCTCATTTGAATAAATGGGCGCGTGCAGGGCCTTGTGTTGAAAGGCAGTCTTCCTGATCAACGCCTCTGGAATAAGGCAATATCCAGACGCCGCCGTGCGCCTGTTGTGGCATTCAGTCTTTAATGCTCTCCTCTCTCCGACCCCCCCCCCTCCTTTCGCCGCCATTTCGTAATATGAGAGTCACCAGTGAAGCAGCAAAAATATATAAAAAGGAGACTCATTAAAAATGCATTTCGGGAGCAGAGAGATTCGGAGCTGAATACTTTTCTATTTAAAACGCGAGCGCTTCATTATATCTTTTATTGTAGTCTCTCCGGCGTTTACATCGCACCATCCTATTCTCCATCTTGATTTTTCATTAGTTTCCGAGGCCTGACAGTTAAGTGCCTTTTTCAGCACCACTGGTTTTGACTCCGCCAACAAAAGAATATCAATTCTGATTTTTGAAAAACTTTTAATAGACGGATAATTGTCACTCAGCGCGGATCCGGTGGTAATTGCAGAAGATTTCCGAGAGGTTAAGGCTCGGAGAAACTTTACTTTCTCCTCCAGAAACTTTTGAGAGAGAGAGAGAGAGAGAGAGAGATGATTGCAGAGTTTTGTGAAGGTTTGAGAATAAACAAGAAATGCTTCAGGCTGAATCAGAGCAAATCATCGTCATTCACAGACTCTATAGTCCAAGTCCATCTGGTCCCACTCGACGTGTCTTTGACTGGAATGTCCAAAGTAATAAGGCATTTAGGAAAAAAAAGTCTGTGTATTTTGGTCCTTGAACATGATCTTGGGAATGTTCAACCTGGTGTGTGGTTTTTTACATGTATTAGATTTTATAGGTGACTGATTGAGGTTGTGGACGGGGGAGTTTTATATAGATTTTTATCACAAGTTCAAACAGGTGCCTTTGATACGGCAGACTCTGAGAAGCACAAGGACTGGCCTCCTGCTGGGACTCAGAGGAGCACAGGGACTGGCCTCCTGCTGGGACTCTGAGGAGCACAGGGACTGGCCTCCTGCTGGGACTCTGAGGAGCACAGGGACTGGCCTCCTGCGGGGACTGAGATGAGCACAGGGACTGGCCTCGTTCTGGTCCCAGAGTCAGGACATTCAGGTCAGAACACGGGGAGGCAGCCTTTCAAATTTATGCATCTGGAGCAGTCTTCCTGAAAATATGAAACTGTCTTTTACTCCAGATTAAAAACAAGAGAGTAGAGAAGTAGGGATGGTGGAAACGGGGCTGAAGAGATTATCTGCACTTCCCGTTTCTGTGATGACTTTGCCAGGTCTATTTGTGTCTGCGTAGTTAGATTTCCTCCGTGTGCTCCGGTTTTTCCCATGAGGATGAAAGTGTGTGTGTGTGACTGTGTATTTACCAAACCTTATGGTCATGAATACACACCCTCCCAAACAAACAAACAAATACATAATGAGTATGGCTCTTCATGCGCACAACAGAAAGTCAAAGGCCTGCTCCAACCAAGATCAAGTTAGCGATCAGTGTTATTTTTCTCTTCGACCAAAAATGACTGCACAACGCTGCCGAACCATCCACACATCACAAATGAAGTTAGAGCCAGTGGAAGCAATGGAGTTTTAAGGGAGACCCAAACACGCACGGATCAGTCTAACAACAGTGGGTGTGAGAATAACGAACACAAAACAACTGTCTGTCATGACTGTCATGTCCCCTTTAAGAGCCTGACATGACCCTAAACTTATGGTCTATTCCTCCTGCTGACCCTGGACCTCCCCTCTGCCCTGTAGAGGGGAGAGGGAGAGTGTGGCTGTGGCTTCATTAATGCACCATCAGCACATTGAGAGAGGACTGGAGAGAATGAGGAGATAGAAGAAGAGAGGAGGAGGATATGGGAGAGGAGAGGAGGAGGAGATGGAGAGGAGAGGAGAAGAGGAGGAGATGGGAGATGGGAGAAGATAGGAGGAGGAGAAGAGATGAGAGAGGGGAGGAGAGAGGAGAGAGAAGAGGAAGGAGAGGAGAGTGCGGTGAGGGAGAGAGGAGAGAGAAGAGGAGAGAGAGGAGGGGGAGATGGGCGAGGAGAGGAGAGGAAAGGAGAGAAGAGGAGAGAGGGGAAAGATGAAAAAGGAGAGAGAGGAAGAGGGGAGAGATGAGAAAGGAGTGAAAGGAGAGGAGGCAGAGGAGAGAGAGGAGTCCTGAGTTTGATTCTTGTTGTATATTGCTCCAACCAAGATCAAGTTAGCGATCAGTGGATTTCTTCCCTTCAAACTAAAAAAACCCAAAAAACTGCACAACGCTGCCGAATCATCCACAAATGAAGTGAGAGCCAGTGGTAGCGATGCCAAACATGCATGGATCAGTCCAAACCAACAGTGAGTGTGAGAATGACCAACAAAAACCACTGTGACCCAATACTTCTGGTCTATTGCTCCTGCCTGCCCTGGTCCTCCCTGGTCCTCCCTCTCCCCAGGCAGAAGTCTTACCAGTGTGGCTTCTCTTATGCACCATCAGCACATTGGGCCCGATACACACTATTCCGCAGATATCGCACTTGAGCTTGCCGTTGGGCAGCCTGATCCCTCCGGACGCGGAGAAGGCCTTGGCTCCCGGACTCGGCCCCGTCCCGTTGGGTTTGGGCCCCGACGGATCGACCACACGCAAGTCCTCGGCAAACTCCGCCTCCTCCGCTACGTGCACGCCACTCTCTGCCTTAACGGCAACGGCTGCAAAACACCAGAGAGGAGTCAGGACCAACACAGCTCACTATGGGCTCTATGGGCTCTATGGGAGGGAAGGGAGTCCGAACTATGGTCTCTCTCTGGTCTCTTGCTCCGGTCTCTCTCTAGTCTCTCGCTCTAATCCTTCTCTACCTGGTCTCTCCCTTTGGTCTCTCCCTCCGGTCTCTCTTTGGATTCTCTCTAGACCCTTTCAGATCTCCCTCTCTCTGGTCTCTATCTGGTCTCTTTCTGGTGTCTCCCTCTGGTCTCTCTCTCTAGGCTCTCTCTTGTCTTTCTTTCTGGTCTCTTGGGTCTCTCTAGTCCCTCTCTGGCCTCTCTCTGGTCTCTCCCTGGCCTCTCTCTGGCCTCTCTCTGGCCTCTCTCTCTGGTCTCTCTCTATACTCTCTCTGGTCTCTCTGTGGTCTCTCTCTGGTCTCTCTCTGGTCTCTCTGTGGCCTCTCTCTGGTCTCTCTCTGGCCTCTCTCTGGTCTCTCTTTCTGGTGTCTCCCTCTGGTCTCTCTCTCTAGGCTCTCTCTTGTCTTTCTTTCTGGTCTCTTGGGTCTCTCTAGTCCCTCTCTGGCCTCTCTCTGGTCTCTCCCTGGCCTCTCTCTGGCCTCTCTCTCTGGTCTCTCTCTATACTCTCTCTGGTCTCTCTGTGGTCTCTCTCTGGTCTCTCTCTGGTCTTTCTGTGGCCTCTCTCTGGTCTCTCTCTGGCCTCTCTCTGGTCTCTCTTTCTGGTGTCTCCCTCTGGTCTCTCTCTCTAGGCTCTCTCTTGTCTTTCTTTCTGGTCTCTTGGGTCTCTCTAGTCCCTCTCTGGCCTCTCTCTGGTCTCTCCCTGGCCTCTCTCTGGCCTCTCTCTCTGGTCTCTCTCTATACTCTCTCTGGTCTCTCTGTGGTCTCTCTCTGGTCTCTCTCTGGTCTTTCTGTGGCCTCTCTCTGGTCTCTCTCTGGCCTCTCTCTGGTCTCTCTCTCTGGTCTCTCTCTGGCCTCTCTCTGGCCTCTCTCTGGTCTCTCTCTCTGGTCTTTCTGTGGCCTCTCTCTGGTCTCTCTCTGGACTCTCTCTGGTCTCTCTCTTGTCTCTTTATCATTTATGATCTCAAACACCAGGGAGGATCAGGACCATGTGAACACAGCTCATTATGGAAAGGAGGGGAGTCCGAACACTATCAACACCAGGGGACCGCAATGAGTGATTGACAGCCATGGGTTGCGTTCATGCGACATCACAACTTTCCAAAGAGACTATAGTGGAGGACGGCAGATGAAAAATATGTCCTGGTGACTATGGCAACCGTCAAAATCAGATTCTAGTCCGAGTTCAGAGCTGAGAGGCTGTAATCGCTCAATCAATCCACACAAAAAAAAACGGTCACAAAGTTCCACAGTTTTTTTCCACTGCTTTGTATTTTCTAATTGTATATTTTTGTCTTATTATGTACAGCACTTTGCTCAACCTTGTTGTTTTTATTAGTGCTATATGAATAAACTGGACTGGACTGGACATCATCTTTGGCAGCACATATCGATTACGGTCTCTCTCTGGTCTTTCGTCAATCTGGCCTCTCTGGTCTCTCTCCAGTTTCTCTCTCTGGTCTCTCGCTGGTCTCTCTTTGGTCTTTCGCTGGTCTCTCGTTGGTCTCCCTGGTCTTTCTTTGGTCACTCTCAGGTCACTGGCACTCTCTGGTCTCTCTCTGGTCTCTCTCTGGTCTCTCTTTGGTCTTTGGTCTCTCGCTGGCTTCTCTAGTCTTTCTCTGGTCTCTCTCTGGTCTCACTCTGGTCTCTCTTTGGTCTCTCTTTGGTCTCTCTCTGGTCTCTCTTTGATCTCTCTCTAGTCTCTCTTTGGTCTCTGGTCTCTCTCTGGTCTCTCTCTGGTCTCTCTCTGGTCTCTCTTTGGTCTTTGGTCTCTCGCTGGCTTCTCTAGTCTTTCTCTGGTCTCTCTCTGGTCTCTCTCTGGTCTCTCTCTGGTCTTTCTCTGGTCTCTCTCTGGTCTCTCTCTGGTCTTTCTCTGATCTCTCATAAATGTGTCTGGCAGTGGTGACAATCTTCACAAACACATGATGTGATCCAGTAGAACAGACTCAGAACATTATGTAACTTTGGTCCCAGAGTCCGGACTATCCCTGAGGAGCCAGTATTTCAGATTCCTGCAGCCAGCATCTGGAGCAGTCTTCCTGAAACAGGCTTCTTCTCCTACTATGTTTAAATCCAGGTTAAAAACAGTTCTGTTTCCGAGTTTTAAGGATTTACTCTTTTCAATGTACTGTGATTATTTATGATTTAATGTTTTGTTTTGCTCAGCACTTTTGAGTTTCCTGGTGAATGAACGGTGCTATACATATAACCTAGCCTTCACATTGTTCAAATCCAGGTTTATATACTTTTTTGTTTATGTCAACAGTATGAACTCTGCTCACAGGGTTAGTTTCCTCGTCACTTGTTATCTGTGTGAATCCGAGGCTGATCCTGCGGCTTGTGCTGAGGGAAAGTACATCTGCAGGTGTCTCTGATCTGAGTCTGACTCTGAGACCAAACCAGAAACAGGAAGTGAGCGACAGGAAGAGGAGAGATACACAGGACAACCACAAAGCCCAGGAAGTTTACATAGGCCTGCTTTGGCTTGGCCCAGGTAGTTTGAATGGTCCTACTTTGGCCCAGGTAGTTTAAATAGGCCTACTTTGGCTTGGCCCAGGTAGTTTAAATAGTCCTACTTTGGCTTGGCCCAGGTAGTTTAAATAGTCCTACTTTGGCTTGGCCCAGGTAGTTTAAATAGACCTAGTTTGGCCCAGGTAGTTTGAATAGGCCTACTTTGGCTTGGCCCAGGTAGTTTGAATAGGCCTACTTTGGCTTGGCCCAGGAAGTTTGAATCGTCCTACTTTGGCTTGGCCCAGGTAGTTTACATAGTCCTACTTTGGCTTGGCCCAGGTAGTTTAAATAGTCCTAGTTTGGCCCAGGAAGTTTGAATCGTCCTACTTTGGCTTGGCCCAGGTAGTTTAAATAGGCCTACTTTGGCTTGGCCCAGGTAGTTTAAATAGTCCTACTTTGGCTTGGCCCAGGTAGTTTAAATAGTCCTACTTTGGCTTGGCCCAGGTAGTTTAAATAGTCCTACTTTGGCTTGGCCCAGGTAGTTTGAATAGGCCTACTTTGGCTTGGCCCAGGTAGTTTGAATAGGCCTCCTTTGGCTTGGCCCAGGTAGTTTAAATAGTCCTACTTTGGCTCGGCCCAGCTAGTTTAAATAGACCTAATTTGGCCCAGGTAGTTTGAATAGGCCTACTTTGGCTTGGCCCAGGTAGTTTGAATAGGCCTACTTTGGCTTGGCCCAGGTAGTTTGAATAGGCCTCCTTTGGCTTGGCCCAGGAAGTTTGAATAGGCCTACTTTGGCTTGGCCCAGGTAGTTTAAATAGACCTCTTGACCATAGAGATTCCACACTTGCTTCTTTATTATGCTAAAGTTAGAGATTTTCTATTTTCTCTATAATGTTATTGTTCATTTGTCCTCTTTCCTACTGTGCTGTAACCGGTGATGCAACACTGACATTTCCCCACCGTGGGACCAAAAAACAAGCTTTTTATCTTAATCAATTGTTCGTGGGGGGATGTATCTTATCTTAGCAACCGTCATAGCAACAGGTCTGTAACGCCACAAAGCTAACGCCGTCGAAACAAATGCCCATATAAGGAGAGTGGCTCCAGCTCGTGTCTAAACCAGCCTCACATCTGCAGTAAATCTAAGGCTGTGGTGATGTCACACTCAGTCCGCTCCTCGCTCACGGTCTCTGGTCTGAGGTGGTGTTTGCACACGGAAGAGGAACAAACTGCTGGATCTGTGGAGAAGGGGAAGCAGAAGCCGAGTCCGAAGTGAAATACAAGAGCAATCGTTTGGAGAAGTGACAGAAAGAGAAGCTCGGGAACAAACTCCCACCGTCGGCTGCAACCGTCGCCCCCGGCAACAGACACACCGACGTGAACCGGGTCTGGACTCAATGTGGAGGGGGTTATATGCATTACACTAGAACTCCCAGGGCAGTCTAGATTTGGAAGTGTATGACTCTAATGTACGTCTATATATGGTATATTACTAATTCTATTTTTTTTTTTTTTATGAAATTCTCTGTTTTCACTGTTGCTTCTCTGGTAGGTAATGGTGCTGGTCCTAGTCCTGGTCCTGGTCCTGGTCCTGGTTCTAGTACTGTCCTGGTTCTGGTACAGTATGTTTCTAAATCTGCATTTGGATTCTGTTAAATCCTGAAAGATGAAATGATAGTCAAAATGTTTTCCCAAAAGTTTGTTCGGGCACAGGGACGGGCCTCCTGCTGTGGACTCTAAGGCGCACAGGGACTGGCCTCCTGCTGTGGACTCTAAGGCGCACAGGGACGGGCCTCCTGCTGTGGACTCTAAGGCGCACAGGGACGGGCCTTCTGCTGTGGACTCTGAGGAGCACAGGGACGGGCCTCCTGCTGTGGACTCTGAGGAGCACAGGGACGGGCCTCCTGCTGTGGACTCTGAGGAGCACAGGGACGGGCCTCCTGCTGTGGACTCTGAGGAGCACAGGGACGGGCCTCCTGCTGTGGACTCTGAGGAGCACAGGGACGGGCCTCCTGCTGTGGACTCTAAGGCGCACAGGGACGGGCCTCCTGCTGTGGACTCTAAGGCGCACAGGGACGGGCCTCCTGCTGTGGACTCTAAGGCGCACAGGGACGGGCCTTCTGCTGTGGACTCTGAGGAGCACAGGGACGGGCCTCCTGCTGTGGACTCTGAGGAGCACAGGGACGGGCCTCCTGCTGTGGACTCTGAGGAGCACAGGGACGGGCCTCCTGCTGTGGACTCTAAGGCGCACAGGGACGGGCCTCCTGCTGTGGACTCTGAGGAGCACAGGGACGGGCCTCCTGCTGTGGACTCTGAGGAGCACAGGGACGGGCCTCCTGCTGTGGACTCTAAGGCGCACAGGGACGGGCCTCCTGCTGTGGACTCTAAGGCGCACAGCGACGGGCCTCCTGCTGTGGACTCTG